ATTCATTCCTGCCTGTGGCAGGGGGTCAGGCTAGATGATCTGTTCAGGTCCCTCCTGACCCTAGCTACTATGAAACAATGTAGTAAATATACATAGCTTGCTGTCCTTGCTCCAGCAAGTTTCTAATCCAAAACAGATGAGAGAAGGTTTCAGGTAAAGGTAGGACTGTCCATATCAAGGTAAACAGAAACAAGTTGATTTAAAGTGTGCTTCTAGTTCAGGTCTGCTTGAGTGCTGTGTCTGTATGTATGTTTGTGTGTCAGTGATTTTTTTCCTGAAAAGTACTTGGTTAACAAATGAAACTCTCCTTCCTGTTTGCTTGGCAAACTCCACTTTGGCTCTTGGAATTGAATGAGATGTTTGGAATCACGCATCATTATGAACAATAAAGATTTTAAAGGCCAAACGATGCTATTGAGTACACCTTTGAATCCCTGGGTCAAAGTTCTGGCACTCACGCACAAAATATGCATAAGAGGAACAATTAAACTAGTGATTAATTCTGTTAATGCACGAATTGGAATAACTTGTTCAGTCCCAACTGTGCCAATTCTTTGGGGCTAGCAAGAGTGAAATACAGATTTATATTTGCCATGAAAGTCAGCATACCGAGTGCAGAACTGTTGACTATGCTGGGGCCATTTTTAACAATATCATCACTTACTATAGAGGGTTCTCTGAAGAGATTTGAAATAGTAAAAACAGAGGGTGCTTGAAAGATAAGTGGAAGACTTCTTCAAGCATATGATACGGAACAGCCTGAAAAAGTCATGCACTGGTGAGTGAGACAAATCAAACAGTAAGAAAGAAGGGAGGATTTAGAATAGTGGTTTTCAACCTTTTTGGAAACTTGAGACACCCTGGATAGACTCACAGTACCCCTTGGAAAATACCAACTCCTGGTTTTTGCTCTTTTTTTTTTTTGACTACAGGAAAATAATAGAACAGTTTTTCTGTTGCTAAGAACTTGGACCACAACTATGGATTTCTGTTTTAAATTGATGTGTTTTTCTTGTGAATCCTGTTTGCAGACTAACAGTGCTAACTTCGTGTGGCACCCTGCAGCACCCTGGAAAAGGTCTCAAGACACCCCAGGGTGCTGTGGCACCCTGGTTGAGAATCAGTGATTTAGAGGAAAATCCTGAAGAAAGGGCAGGATGAGGACTTGGCAGACTCAAAAATAATTCTCTGTACTCTCTCTGGCCACCATTGGTGGAGGGTGTGGTGCTTTAATTAAAGTGGCTCTGAGAGCAGCTGTAATTAAGTGCTGCTGCATCTCCTGTTTAAATATCCCCATGTTTAAAAATGGCGGCAGGGGTGCTTGACCTAAAGCTTGCTCAATGACCATTAGTTCAAGTGCCCCTTCCACCCCTTTTAAGTGCCGGGATACTGATACGCAAGACAGAGGAGGGTTGCGGCAATTGACACACTCCAGCAGACTAGATTAATTGCATTGGAGCAGCCTCTGTGCTCTATAGGCGCCTGCTATGACCTTGGATAAGCCACTTCAGGTTAGAGCCACAAAGTAACTTAGGTGCTGTAGTGTTTTACTTTTAGGTATGCATTCCCACGGTGAAATCCACAGCCCTGAGTTTTATAAATTTCATAGACATGAGGGCTGGAAGGGACCTCAGAAGATC